AGGCAAAAGAAAGAATTAAATACTACTAAATTTAACTCTTGATTCATATAACTGCATTTCCAATGCAAATAAGCACGCTGGCGCAACATGCCTTTTTTACGAAGAGGTCGAGACTCTCCAGGCTCTCCAGCCTCATTGTGGCCACTTATGGCTTTTAGCCAACCCTGAAGTCGAAGCAAGCCAGATGAAAGAAAACAAAAAAGCGCAACGGCCGCGAGTTTTTCTTTTTTTTTTTTTTTGTGCAGGAAGTTTGATTGGTTTGACTTCGCGATCCCGGTGTCGCGGAAAGCAAGCAACGAAGTTTCCCGGGACCACACTCAACCGCTATAAAACGCGGGTCGCACAACCGAGCCCCGCGAAACGCTAAGAATTCAAGGGTTTTCAAGGACGGCAAAGATATTCCAGCACTTTCAAGGCCTTGAAAAAGCAACTTTCAAATTTAAGGGTTTTCAAGGGTTTCAAGGACCTGTGCGCACCCTGCAGTAGCTACATGATTGCGGCTTTTCCAGCACAATGTACACAACTAATATCTTAAGATTTTTTTTAGAAGAGTCGACCGAAAATTCCTAGCTAGCTTTGTTTCCTCTTTGCGTGTGCCGCTTAATGCGCTGAATTGCCTTCTTACATTCAAAGATGGTTGGCAGAGCGTCGGGTTCAGTCGAGCCTTCTTGAGACCCAAACTCATACATACATTGTTTTCATACTGTTGCAGCCAAAGGCGGCAACTCTGGCCAGAGCCGCCAGCCTTCTTCCGGTTTAACGGGAACGGTCGTCGACCGACGCCATCATGCTGACCAGGGTCGGACTCGGACTTTTGTAATCTGTACCCTATCAATGTATTCACGTCTTTCGTCTCTCCTATAAAGAACCCAAGTTACAAAGCATTGTTTTTCTGGATGCGCTAACTATGGCGACGAGGCTTGATAAGGAGAGGACAAACGAAAGCGCTTGAGCTCATTTTTTAGGTAACGAAGTTCAGGGATTACCTTCTCTGCAGGAGCTTCACCCTAAAGACAGACCACCAACCCTTGGTGGGGTTGTTCAAAGAAAGCAAATAGATTCCAAGCATGGCTGCGGCACGCATCTAGAGGTGGGCACTAATGCTTGGAGCGTGCAAGTATGTGATTAAGTACAAGCCTCGGTCAAAAAAACTTGAGCGCAGACGCCCTCAGTCGTCTGCCGGTGGCAACTGCACCAGAAGGAGCAGAAACCGAAGAGGCCCAAGATATGGGGGTCTTCACAGTGGACATGTTGGACACCGGCCTAGTGTCCACATGACAGCTAAAGACCTCACAGGGAAGGACCCAACCATGCAGAGCCTATGAGACAGAATCAGCAAGGGTTGGCCAAGAAGGCTTTTTGGACATTCGCCTTAAGCCATACTGGCATTATCGGAATGCACTCACGCTGGAAGGGGCCCTCATCTGCATGGGTGGAAGAGTGGTGATTCCGAAATATGCACGGAGGGCATTTCTATTGGAGTTTCATGATGCTCACATGGGGATTGATGCAACTAAAGCACTGGCACGCACGCTGGTGTGGTGGCCAGGCATCGACCGTGAGGTGGAAGAGTTGCCTCACTGGTGCACGGTGTGCCAACAGGCGGCTCCCATACCACCGAGTAGGAAGCCACTGGCATGGCCAGCAACAAAACAGCCGTGGACAAGAGTTCACGTGGATTATGCCGGACCAGTAGAGGGAAAGATGATCCTGGTGGTGGTCAACAGTTTTTCTGGCTGGATAGAGGCATCACCAACGACAACAGCAACATTGGCAACGACAGTGGAACTAACCACCCTTGCTCGATTTGGCCTGCTCACATGTTTGGTGTCGGACAATGGTACTCCATTCACAGGAGCCGAATTCCAGGACTTTGTCAAGAAAAATGGAATACGTCCTATACGTACCGCACTGCTCAGTGAAAGAATGACTAAAGAAGGTGTCTGGTGCGTCTCTCACAACTCGCTTGGCGAGATGGCTCCACATGCACCGTAGAACGCCATCGGGTGGTCGTCCCAAGTCTCCAGCAGAAATGCTTCTGGCCTGTCAGCCGTAAGTTTGTCTGTACTTGCTGACAGCCCGGGCAGAGAGTCACAAACCGGCAGGGCCATCCAACCAGTCGCGTACATGGAGCCGAGGTCAGGCCGTTTTTGCAAGGAACTTTGGTAATGGACCTCGCTGGCTGAGTGGAACAATAACGCAAGAACTGGGAAACCGCATGGTGCTGGTGCAGACACCTGGCAGTATGATCCGCAGACATCATGACCAGCTACGCCTGAGGCACGAGGTCAACACTCCCGACCCTCTGAATCAACCCAGTGAGCTGAATGAGGATTTCATGTTAGAATGGGGCCAATCCTCAGCGGTTCCAACACCTTGGAGCCAAGCAAGGAACAGTGTCCAGTGCGAGAACGCCGACCACCTGTTCGGCTGGACCTGTAGTTCCACCATTCCACCAAGTGTGGGGGAAGTGTTGCGGCCGGAAGCGGCAACCCTGGCCAGAGTTGCCAGCCTTTTTCCGGTCCAACGGGAACGGTCATCGACCGACGCCATCATGCCGACCAGGGTCGAACTCTGACTTTTGTAATCTGTACCCTATCAATGTATTCACGTCTTTCGTCCCTCCTATAAAGAACCCAAGTTACAAAGCGTTGTTTTTCCTGACGCGCTAACACATACATGCCATCCTGAACACGTTCCGAACAAAACAACGGCATACTAGCTCAAACTCATCTGTTTGCAAAGCGTGAACTCATTCCCTTAAAATCTTGATGTCAGAGTGAAAGGGCGGTAAGCGGGAAGAACAACTACAACGAGCACTGCTCGTGCAAGCCAATGGCTACACATAAGTACGGCATCGTACAGCAGTGCGAGTCAGTTGTTTCGGTGCCACGAGAATTCCGCAAACTCGTAAACAAACAAGAGAACGATCAACACGTCGGATGACCGGTCAACGGATAAAAGCAAGCCCTATGCAGCAACAGAATGACCACGGCGAGGGGGGATCGGTGGCAGAGTCGGCTAGCGCACACCAGCTCCGAGCACGGGGAGCAAAAGCTTGTATTGTAGAACCCAGAGATCCTGGGTCCAGTCCCAACCCTGCCCGTTTCGATCTGAACGAGCATCGTCCCCAGGCTAGCGGTTGTACTGCACTGGCCAAATTTCACATCGACAGCTAGGAGACTAGTCGCCCGTTGAGGCAGACCAAGTTTTACGCTGTATGAACATACACACAACCCAATTTTTTTCCTTTCTAAACGACGGCGACTCTAAAAAGGAGAGAGCGGCCAGGTGCGGCGGGGTCCCCCAGCCGGTCCTCTCGCGACGTCAGCTGATGGGCTTCCTCCCTCTCTCCCCTTTCTCTCTGCTTCGGAGGGGCGTGGCTCCAGCGCTACTTTGAAGAAGCTTTTCCCCAATAATCACCGCACAAAATGACCAAACGAATACAATATTTGTTGATGATGGTGAATTGCAATTGGTGTTAGACTGGTGAATTAAATTGCAAGCTTCACCCTTGTTGGTGTTAGACTGGTGGCAGCTGATAAAACCCGTTTGCTCTACTGACGTCTAACCCCTGGTTAGCTCAGTTGGTAGAGCGCTCCACTTCCACTTGTAATGGAGAGGTCCTGGGTTCGATACCCGGACCAGGCGGATTTTTTCGGTCGCTCACCAGTCACTTAGCTGTGTTTGGAGATTTGTGTTTGTCCTTTGTCCCTCTTGTTCCCCTTCTCCAGGGATTATTTTCATCATTCTTGTCCAGCTCGCTTGCCCCTTTGCATTTAATTGCATTATAATTACAATATTTGTGATGGCTGACGTCTAATTAAATAGGCTCGGGTGTTTTAGAGCGCAGCTCTTAGGGGCCCGTTTCCAGCCTGAGCGGCGTCGGCGTAGCCGGGGGGGGGGGTCACGTGACCTCAAGGACGATGCTTAGAGGACAAAGTCTAGGGCGACCTCAGGGACGATGTTTAGGACGACCTCAAGGTGAATGCCTAGGACAACATCTAGGATGACCTCTAGGACGACCTCAAGGATGACTTTTAGTACAACTTTGAGGACAACCTCTCAGACAACATCAAGAACGATCTCAAGGACGACTTCAAGGATGACATCTAGGAAGACGCCTAGAGAAATTCAGCCTTTCCACTCTGATGAAAACCAGAGTGGAAAGGCTGGAAAGGTTGCCGCCATCTATGAGCGAGGCCGGCAAACCGGTTGTCTGGTGGCCGCCGTCGCTCATAGATGACGGTAGCTGTCCAGAGTTTTGTGTCAACATTTCTTTGCGGGGAACACGATCCTGGGGAAACTAGCCCTTAACTGCTCCGCTGTAAAAAAAAAAGAAACTTTGGAGACGACTTATGGGCTTCTAGCGTTCCTGCCAAGCATGCAAGGTCGTACAGTACCAACGCTTTTCAGGGTCAAATGCTCGCGCTATCAATCAGGCCTCACTACACTTAGAGTCAAACGGAGTATAGTCTTAGCCTAGTGTTGCTCAACTAACGGCTGAGCTAACCCACCAGCTGCACCTTTCATATCAGTTTTAGCAAAGCATGAGGCTTCGCTTTAACATACTATTTCGGCTGCGATCGCATTGCGCGCCAATAAAGCGATACTATGGTGCCGGGAAAAAGCCGGCGTGTTTAGTGCATCCAAAAAAGAGATCCCTCGATTTCCACTCAGTGCAGAGCGCAAGTTCGGCTGCTTCTTTTGCTGGGGTTGTGGTGATGCCAGGATGCCAAGCTCCGATTGGCTCTGACAGAAGGATAGTGGATAGACTTCAAAGCAAGCTGCCTAGAGGTCTATCTACCATCTTTCCAATTGGAGTAAATCTGAGCTCTGTGTTCAGACGTCATCACAACACCCAAAAAGAGGCAGACGAATTTGCGCTCCGCATAGTGTCCTCTCGCAAGCGGCTACAATGCACTGGAGTAGTTGTACACAAATCTGTGGACTAGCTTTTAGACCACGTTTCAGAGGGTGCCCTAGAGCAGTGCACTCACCCTCGCGAAAGCGCTCGCCGACGGCCTTGGTCTTGTTGGCCCGCTCCGAGCCGGCAAGGTCCACAAGATGGAACTTCGACGCGGTGACGTCGTTGCCGCCACGTTCCTTCAGCTCCACTGCGAGCGTGTAGATGGCATGGGAACGCGACGAGCGGGCGTTCATCTCGGTGGAGCCCGTGCTCCGCGATGCGGAGCCAACCTCCAGCTGGTGAAGGGCCTCTTCTGCGGAGGCCACCCTCCGCTCCGTCAGGTTCGGGATCTGGAGATTTGAGAAAGAGTGCCACTCTTAAGTTCCGCTCCAGCTTCTTGACCGACCATTGCGCAAGAGTTCCACGGCTCCCGACGCAGGGCACAACACCTTCTAGAGAAGTCTATGACAGAAATTGTATGCCTGCTGAAAGTTTTCTAGCGTGAGCTACACTGGCCGAGGTTGAGCAGTTTTGCATGGCTCCCAAAGAGCCGTGCTGCGCATGCGCGAGGAGCAGCGACGTCCCACAGCACACAGCTGGAGCGCCGAGGCCGCCGCGCGTGTTTCACCGGTTTGCGCATTTCAGAGGAGTAACGTCATAGCCGCGGCAGATGCACTGGCGCCGCCGTGTGCCCAGCTGTGCGCCTCTGTTGTGCAGTAGCCAAGTCTGACGCTGCACCGGAGCCACTTGATAGCGCCTCATTTTGTACGCATAAGCTCACGCTACGTATATCCTGGCATAGCCGAGCTAAGCCACCGCAATTTTTCGCGATGCTTCGCAAGAGGGAGGAAATGACCGAAGAGGGCATCTCTGATCAGACTCAGCTGCCCGTGTAGGCTCGGCGTATTTGTAGTGCCAACGAGACTCGTTCCGCTACGACGAAAGGCAGAGCGAGAGAACGAGGTATGCCTCAATTTACCGAGGAATCTCTTCAATATGTTTTTCGCGGAGACCGGAAAATTGAATGTATCATACAGATACCGTATTATCCGAAATTGACCCCAAAGGGCATAGAACATGTACACATGGTGAAAAACGTGCTCCAATCCCACAGGCAGTGGAATACCGCTGGTAGTGTACTGCCTCCTGAATCAACCCACATTTTTATTAATCCGAGGTTGCTTTTGTGTTGTGTGTGCTTTTTTTTAATTAGGTGTAGAAGTTGCAGTGGTTGGCCACAGTGGTCACGGCCAAAAGCCATTTGACTACCTCGGTTGTTGCCTGACCGCAAGTCGCGCATCGGCTGGTTGCAACTTAACCCGTGACTACCGCTACCGTGCAGCAGGCAGCTCGTGGCCTACTGCAATGTGATTTGTGCTGGCAGACTAGAATATAAAGACGCATTTTTGAATACCCATCAAACCCAGTGCAGCTGTCGTATTATCCAATTTCGAGCAAAAATTATTGCAATTTCTGTATCACAATACATTGTATCTATGGGACATTCGACGGGAATGAAAAACATTATGCGAGACTGTACGAACGAGATTCCACTGCAACTGGCGGACTATGTCCTTCATAAAAACAAAAACTTAATGCGATGCAGTTTTTTTTTTTTTGTTCCTTTGTATTTTTAACATTTACACCACCTCTGCTGGGTCTTCCTACTTTCCCTTGAGTGCTGTAGTAGCATTAAATAAAATACATCCAGCTGTTACTTCAATCATTCAATTAGGTAGTGAAAAAGTCCCCAGCATTCACTACGAGATCCATACAAAGGAAACTAATAATAATAATAATATCTATTTCCACTTGCGAACAGGTTAAAACCAGTTCACAAGTGCGCCTGCCAGCCCGCCACGCAGGGAATTAAAGAAAAAAAATTAAGGAGAGATTATGACAATATGTACACATACATGCACGCTCGCACCATGTGCAGACGCACACAAACAAAATGTAAATGGGATTTAAGTTCCTGAGTTCCATTGTCATGACTGTGATTGCAGTCATGATTCAAGCGCAGTCATTATTCTATTCTATTCCTTGCCCCATGGGTCACTTCCAGGTGGCGTCGCCTGGAAGTGAGCCATGGGGCGAAAGTGCATGGCCTGCTCTGAGTAGGCCACGCACCCTCACCCCATGGCGAGCTTCCAGGCAAAGCTGCCTGTACCGCGAGTCACGTGCTCCTCCGTTTGCATTTCATTTTGCCTCCCCAATAGTACATACCATGTACAAAGTATGTAAATAATATAGAACAAAGTACATAGCATGTGCATGCACGTACTATGCACAAAGTATACAGTCAAATGCCTTTAAACAATCTAAGCAGGACTGGTGAAACATTTTTGTTGTGCAAGTCCTGCGTTACAAGGGTTGAGCGGGAAAAAACGAACGGGTGAATTTGAATCTAAACAACCTTGCCGCACCGGCCTGAGCAAAACAGGGGCCTTTTTTGTGGGTTTCTGTCGGTATAGCTAGACCTTGGCACCACGGAAGTTACAGCTCGATCAGAAGACGCTCGCCAAACGAAAGAAATCGGATCTAGACCCAGATGGAGGAGGGCGGGTACAGTTGGGGATGCAAGATTGCTCAGACTAACTCGAAAGATCTTCGTTAAGGGGACACATGGCCTCGGAATTCAAAATTTTCAAAAAAATGTTTTTCAAAAATGATATGTTTATGCTTATTAACTTCCAAAGAATGGTTTCAGAAACTTTCATTTAAAAACATGCAGGATTTATCTCAGAATAAATTATTTTCAAGATGTCGGCAGCCCCCCCGAGTCAGCAGGGAGCAAGTTTTTTGCGTTTTTAGGGGCAAAGCTCTTTAGGGTCTAGCCTTGTCCGTCCGGCGTCCGTGCACACATCGATCTTGCTGGTGCTGGTGCTTGTGAGCTCACGTGCTTGTGTAGGGCAGAAAGAAGAAATGTTTGCGCAGACGACAGGATTCGAACCTGTGCGGGGAGACCCCAATGGATTTCTCGTCCATCGCCTTAACCACTCGGCCACGACTGCGGGACGAGTAGGGGGCTCTGAAATGTGGTAGTAACTCAAGAGCTGGGGATGTCATGGATGAAACGTTGCAGGTAGCCGCTCAACGTCTATACAGGAGAGGGCGCTGCGGTCAAATGCGTATATAATCGCATTAAACTTTGCATGCATTGGCTCAACATTTATAGACGAGAGGGCGCTGCGGTCAAATGCTCAAATGCTCAAATGCCTATATAACCACGTTCCATACCACACATTCTTTTTCTGACATGGATGAAAACGAACAAAAGGCTCAGCATGCTGTGGCTCAGCGTCTACGCAAACAACCACCACCAGAGGTTCGCCCTAATCAACATCATTCACCACGAGGAGATGCGGCCATTTTTTTATTTAGCGCTGTTTCATACTCGTTTAACTTAGCCTTTACTCTAGATTTAGCCCATAGAAGCTTTCAAAGTTTACAAGTGTCAATGGCCAGGAGGACCCAATATATCCAAGCAGAAAAAATTCTGAAAATTTGGTATGAGCAATCTTATTGGTCGGGACCTGAAACAGGGTTTGCGATTGGTCCTTCCTGGTGACGTGATATTGTGTCATCTTCAGTAACGCCCCTTTACAGTATCTTCCCCTTCAGATCCTATTCCTGCTTTGCTGCTCTTCCTCAGTGTGATTTGCCTCTTAGTTCTTGCCAGTTTATCTGTCAGGGAATGCCTGCTACAAAAGTTGGCGTGCCTACAAACGAAACAAACTGGTAGCTATTGCCAGGAGAAGAGGGAAGTCTCAAAGAGGAAGGTGCTAACAATCCGCCAGGTGAATTTTGCCTTCCTCGGACTCGCAGAAAGAAAGCAACCTAAAGTTGAAACTTCAGATGCATTCTTCTCAGTTTCACTTTTTGGCAGGAAATGTGGTATGAAGAAATGTATCATTGGACATTTTGAAAGTGTAAAGATTTCATTCTGTGGTGTCCTTGACTGAAATTTCCCAAAGAAAAAGTTAAGGTACTCATTGAAAAAGCTAAATTCTTCATGACAAAAGCTGAATATTTTAAAACTCAGAAATTTGTTGAAATCATTTGCTCTTTTTGGGTGTTATTGTTTTTCTCTAGAATTGCATTTTCTACAATTAATTTTTACCTTAACTTGCACTATGGGTATTCTACTTCACATTAAACCAAACATTTTGTGGATTGCAATTATTATTTTTCTTAAATATATTTCCTAATAAAGTAACTTTTTTCTGAAGCTTGTTAAGCGTAGTATGCTGTAAAATTGGCCTATAAGGCTGAAATCAATTCACCATGAAAGTTTGAATCAATTCGAGACAATGGTTCAAAAGTTGACCCTTCCAGGCCACGTCCCCCCTTAGAGGCCGACGAGCAGGCTGAAAGGAAACTCCCTCAATTTCACCCTTACATTAGAGAAAAAGGGAGATGCCCCCCCCCCTTTTTCTACGGGGAATAGCGGAGAGACCCGCTTTAATGGGGAACGGAGGTGAGAAGAGTGCAAGAGAAAACTGAGACGGAAACTGGTTTTTTGCCCGGCAGAAGACCATTCTGTACCTTAATTTTTAACTCTTCATTGCAGATCGGTGCGCTTGCAGTTCCCAATAGTAGTTGCAATACTCTAAGCGCAGCTTTTGAAGTAGTAGCTCTATGCTGCGCAAGCCACATTTTTTTAGCAGTTTCGAGATCGGCAAACTGTGTTCAAGAACCCGAGGAAGCTACTTTGCCTTACCTTGATTGTTCCATTGTCCTCGCGGATGGAGAGGGGATCCTGGCTTCTGAGGAGGTCGAGGATGTCCTCCTTGTAGATCTGCATATAAAAGGGAAGACGCAGGCTCGATCGAATGCCAGCGCAGAGCCACCACTTCGCCGGTATAAGACGCTTTCTGTAGTTGCCACGGAAAAGACGAATTCCTAGGACGTGCAAGTTCCACAGAAACGGTGAAGCGGGAGATTTAACGAGGTCCTTCTGCTACGCTATTAGACCTATCCCACCAGGTGATCGGCTGTCTAATAGCAGTACCCGAAACTCGCCGACAAAACCTGTCGCTCAACGGTTCTTTAGCCAAGCACCGGTCGAATTAGTGGCGAAATAAATTATGGCCATTGCAAAGAGCGGCGTCCTCATGGGGATTGCTTCTGTCGTTCGACCAGAAGTTTGCGAGACTTAACAGAACAGCGCCACCTTGGGGCATTACGAAAAGGAGCTATAGTAGAATATTTATGGCAGGGGTCAAACTGATCTAGAGGAGCTCCTCCCAATCTTGGCATTGATGCTGTAAAGCAATAAAAGAGCCTACAAGCCTTGTAAGGATAAACACATATACTAAGGAACATTTGCCACACAGTTATGCATCGATGAATGGCTCAGATTTGAGTTAAGGGCAGTGACTGAAAAGAAAATCGAGAAGCTCGAGAGATGCCTTCTGTACTCTGGGCGCTCGAAGCTGGTCAACGTTAACCGCGGCGAAAGGTTAACCACTTTTTCCCTACGAGGGGAATTTTAGGACGCATGACTGCAAGAGCGGGGATGGCGACACATTAAATGGTGAGCGCAGCTCGCTATCTAATGTGTTGTCGTAATTTATAAATTCTATACATTCATAATTTCTGCACGCAGGAATACCCCTTCAACACCCATTTAAGCCGCAGTCCCACCGCTCATACTTTCCGTACAAAAGGCACGGTGTTTGCAGCAAACACAAAGAAACCGTCTGCAAACTGACAAGCGACGGGACCGTTCTAATGAGGAAGAGACTCCTCGGACGGTGATCGCAGACAGTGTTGTGCGAAACATTGGCAGCACGACTGCAGCCTAAACGTTTCCAGGGGCTCGCGTAAGGGAGCGCACCTACCTCCAGGAAGGAGACCTTGACCTCCACGTCCTTGCTGGCCCGACATTCGCTGACGGCAGCAAAAATGTCCTGGACAGCACGCGGTATGATGCCGGTGTCCTCCGCGATGCCTCGAGACGCGCAGCTGGTCCCCATAGTGAATGTCTTTCCGGAACCGGTCTGGCCATATGCCAGCACGGTCACGTTGTAGCCTGCGTGCAACAGTGTGTCCGACCTCAGAGGGGCACGCTCCGCCGACTTTAAGGCGGCAGACGTAAACGAGCACGATGCACACGAGGGGCCGGCGCCCAAGGGAGAAGAACAGACACTGAGCTAATTTGCAACACGGTTGCAAGTTGCGTGAAAGAAACATTCACTCGCCGTCAGGCCCCACCGAACTGCCCACGAGGCCGCTTCTTTTTTATTTGTGAACCGCATCCCTCGTTTATGTTCATTAGTACTGGGGAGTCTTCCGAATTGTTGGGATTGCATGCATTTTACCGAGAAGTCAGGGAATTCTGTGCCCATGTCTCCGTTTCATCTAAGTAATATCCCAGGCGAAAATCAGTCTACTTCCAGCTGGATTATGGAAGGAACTGGAAATGAAGCGGTCCAGCTGGACCCAGCTGGATTGTCATTTCCAGTTCCATAATCCAGCTGGAAGTGGACTGATTTTCGCCTGGTTAAGCACCGGTAAATGCAAACTTCTTGGTCAGACACCAATAAAAAAATGCATTTGTCGTGCTTTAGCAAGCGAGCAAATGAAGACACTGTCAGCGATTCAATGCCAGCTCCCTCCTCCAGTTCAATTCTTCTCATTGGCCGACTCAGGGGCGTAGCGTTGCATGGATTGGGGGGAGGGCATTTCATTGATGCTTGTTGCGTTCCGCCATGGATTGGTTGCGTGAGGACGCTCGAGTCTCACGCAATGCCGAAGCATTTGTGTAGGTAGAATGTTAAGGTAACCCTTAACCTGCGATGACACACGAACGGTTGTCTCCAAGGAGAAAGACGTCGATAGGCACGGTTTCATACGTGAAAAAAGTGACAATGACAAGTCGCTACCTATTCCCCGTTTCACCTCATAATGCAGCGCGGTGGACACTACGAACCCTTGAGCCAATCCGGAGCTGTGGAGGAAGCGTGGACCATAAGTTCCCGCCCGTTACCGCACCTCTACTGAAGGTCATGCAACACTCGTGTGGCACTGGCCTGGCTTTGATGCTTCGTAGGATCCTCTGCAGTCGGTCGCAAGGTGAAACTAAGTATAACTGCACATGAACTGAGCGACAAGTTAATATACTATGCTTCACCTTATGATGGACTGTAGACAACGCTACGAGCCACTGAAGCCAGTCCAATGCTGTAGAAATGTTGCGTGACCTTCAGCAGAGGAGCAGCGACACGGAGTGCAGTCGCATGATGTAGTCACAGCACTTGATTGGCTGGGATGGCTTGCAGCGTTTACTTCAGCCCATCGTAAGGACCCACCGGGAGCACATGGCTGCGACGGTGACTGGCGGGGGCGCTGGGCACACTATTCCATTTTGCCTCGAGAAAAGGACTTGCTCGGGGCTCAGGCACAGCGCAACCCGTGCTTATCAGTTTCTTGTTTCGGTTTTGTGACGGGGAGCAGTTCATTGCACCGGCAATCTACTGGCTCTGGAATTTTCTGCATTTTTTTATGTCGAGCAAATTTTGAATTTGTTTATTTACCCGTTGACATTTGTTCAGTTGCCTGTTCCAACATTTTATACTCCAAACTAATAAAAAAAGCAGTGACGACCGCTTGTTTGGAGCCTCCGTAACTCTATCTCCGAGTGTGATGCCAATGAAGCGCACTCTTCCACTAAGCCTAAATAAAAAGCTTAAGCTCTTTCAGGCCAAGACAAGCCCTTAGTGAGTGTCCACCCCTCGAAGCAGCATGAAATTGCCCGGAATGCGTGCAGCGCCCCCGCCGTCTTAGCAACAGCTCTTAGTGGGCCTTTCATATTACAGGAGAACGTATATTAACTAAGTGACAAGTTGCTAATAGTACTTGTCATTGGAGCAAGTTAAAAAAATAGGTTAAAGGGGCACTGACACATCAAAATCATATATATTTTTATTATCCGAAACGATTGAAAACGATGCCGGGACATTGCCCTTAAAATTCGAAACTTGGGAATTCAGTATTTCTGAATTAAAAAAACAATTTCCAAATGTCGAATTTGAAGTTTCCGCGTGATCCGCGCCAGTGCAGTGAGTCAAATTTTGCGGTCTCCTGCGACTCGACTTTCTTTGGGACCTCCGCCATGGCCACAGCAACTCGAGGGGAGGAGGAGGTGAGCAGGCGGGATAGGAGCCGGCGCGGGAAAACAACGGTTTTTTTCCCCGACTGAGTGCCGCCAAGTTTTCCGAGGGAGGATACAAATCCAGGAAGCGACATCACACCGAAATCTGATTTTTGGTATTTAAAAAAGAGGGGCCGTAGTGCGTTCGCAATTGCGTTAAAAAACATGTTTTACGATTGCCGTTATTAAATGGTATAGAAATGTCGCCCACAAAGCTTCTAAGTTTCCTGATTTTTGACGTCACCGATCAAAAAAAGCAAGGAGGTGAGCGCAGGAGATATAAGCGGCAAAAATAAAAAGGCACGCACGTGCAAAAAAATTTTTTTTCGCGATGCGTTTTTTTTTTTTTTTGTGTTTATGACTACAATTTGCATCGTTTTAGACAAAAAATACTAAGACCTTTGGGGTGTCCAGTGCCCCTTTAAAGTTCATTTCTAAAATTTTATAAATTAGAAAGTATGTACTGAACTTTAGGGTCTGACTAATTACAGTACCTTAATTACTTTTCATTGGTGACTTAACAGCCCTGGCTCGCAATGACAGCACTGATGGAGCAAGCCTGCGGCATTTGAGGACCACTAATAAAATTAGGGAAGTGTACATATCGATGGCAGCCAGCACAGCAGCTTTGAGGAAACATTGCAGGCGGTGTCCTTTCATTGGCTGGCAGCAATCGCGCGACTTTCGGTCGCTGGTTCCAGTCTGTGGGGTATTGCTGCCGCCAGTGGTTGCCGCTTGTCTGCCTGAGAGCAGGGCGAGGCGGGCGCGGCCTTCGCGAAGCAGCGTGTACAGCAGGGCCAGGTGGGTCAACATTTTTGTAATAAGCCGACAGACTGTCGCCGCAAAGTGGGTAGGCTCAGAGCCGTGTATGGGGAGAGTGGTCAGTTTATGAACTCGCCGCCGTAACGCTCTCCTCCCGAGTGAGCCAGTCAGCACGCGGCGCAGAGCAAGAGGCATGAGCACATGCGCGTGAACTCCCGGCTGCTCCCAGCTGAGTGGGGAGGGCCGCCATTTTCGTTCATTCTCCCGGCGGAATGCGTGGGATCTGTATCCAAAATCTCAATTATTTTCTTTTTTATCGCTGGCTCTGGCAAGAAAATGACCTACTGTTATTCCTTGGTGGGTTAAAAAGCTAATAAATGAAGATTTTTCGACATATGGCCACAAACTTATTCAGGCGAAAAAGAAGTCTGCCCGTAGCAGACGACGCATAGCCTCAGCAGTGCTCTTCTCCGACAGCGTTGGTCAAAAATGGCGGTCGTCTCTTCTCTGCTCCGTCTGCTCCCTTCTTTCTCTCTCTCTCCTTTGGCGCTCTCCTCCCTTTCATTTACTTTTCTCCTCTCCGGTGCCTTGGTCGCCACACCCACTGGCAAAACTCCCAATATACGGCTCTGGGTAGGCTAACGCGAATCTCAGTAATGCGTGCGAATATAGACCTTTGCAAAAAAGAGCGCTCTGGCCGCTGCCATTTTGCGAATTGAGCGACCCCCATCAGCCAGAAATTTTTGGCACGCGCCTGAGCTGTGGAAACCCGGTCAGTGCGACTCCTCACCTGCATTATGCATTCGGAGTTCGCCGGCCTTTCTTGGAAGTTTTTACTTTATTTGCCTGTTTAGGATCGACGTTCTTCGAGGATTATTTCCGTTGAGATAATCTCCAAAAAGCCTTCCCGGCTATGTTCTGGGCCTTAGCAAAATAGCTGATAGGGTCGGGTCCGGCGTGTGGGGACAGAATAGACACGTTTGTTCATTTGCTTTGAAGCTGTGCAAAAAAGCAGCTCTTTTCTACATGTTCTCCAAAACACGCCGGATTCCGTCAGATTGTCGTGAAGTGACTATCGTCGACACTGTATATTGGATATGCTGTGTTATTTGAGACCTTTTTCAAATCCTGTTCAAAGAACGCGGCCCCGTGGGGTATGTACAATATATGATGTTCGATTGATGAGACTATGAATTTCATGTTGTGGGCAAGGAACATCCATGCAGATCTGATATCCTGTGTGATCAAATATTTTCGACGGCTAAGACCTTTGTAGATTGACATGGCTGAGTGTATGGGGCCGTAAAAAGATCAACATAAAATGAAACAAACATTGCAGTGGCATTTGTTCTGTCGAGCATGGACTCACCAAAACAGCTCTAATTTCTTGTCTTTGTTCCCATAAATAGTACAATGCAGTGATGTGATTGGCCTAAGCCGTTTTGGAGCACCTTTTGGAGCAGCCAAAACAGTGTTTTGGAGCAGCAAAAGTGGCTTTTGGAGCAGATATTCTTAGAAAAAAGAAATAATAATTGTTTCAAGTGCTGGACAAACCAAGGACACTTTGCTCGCCGCAATAAACAAATTATAGTCCAGTTAGACCACCTGGGAGTCTCTAAACACGTAACTGAAATGCCAATGACATGACACATTCTGCAATGCTTTAGTTAAATGATACGTATATATATATATACCCGCTATAGGTAAATAAGAACCAAATTGCACATATTAACATTTATTTAAAAATGACCAGCTCAGTATAAATAGCACAGCATTAGGTTGACTAGTGATAAATTAAATTAAAGCAGTCTCCAACTGATGAAACACGTGACGTAACTACTGCACTGCAATACGAAATTGTCGCACGATCGGAGATGGCCTGTTCGATCGAAACCATGCCACTCCCGCTCTGTCGCCAACTGGTTCCCAAAGTTGCATGCAAAATGTAACTGTCCAGCATACGACAAAAAACAGTCTAGCAGCACGAGCTTGCCAGGCCGGCAGGCAAGGTACAAGCTAAACACACAGAAAAAAAAAAAGAAAATAACCTGAGCACATGGATGCAAGACATCACGAGCCAGGGTGAAAAAGCTCTTGGAGCGCTTCGTGCAACGACT